AGAAAAGGGACACAGTTCTTGGCAGGAGAGAGAGCGAGGGGTTGTCAGGAAAGCAGCAGGTTACTTGAAGATAGTCATCCCAAATGTATGAGAGAAGCTGTAAAAATCTGCCACAGAAGGAACAATGATCCACAGTCAGAAAAGTTACTGCCGCTCCAACAGGAAACCCTTCTGGTTCAGGACTTCATAGCCACATTTTGCAAATGTGCAGCTATTGCTTAATGCAAGGTAGTGTCAACTAGATGTACATTGCTGAGGTCTTTCTTCTGCTGTAGCTTTGTCTTTTTCTTTCTTTTCACTACATGAGGTATATTGCCTGGAAATTGTGGTAGTGGTACCAGGAATAAAAAACTAAGACATTTTTAACTTAAAGAAAAAAAATTCCAATATTACAACAAAACTATTTTAAAACAGGCAAATGATGTTAATAGACATTTTTGAAAAGAAGACAGGCCAATGGTTAACAAGTATATAAAAACATATTTGAAATCATTAGCTACCAAGGAAATGAAAATCAAAACCACCAGGAGTTATCCCTGAAAAGATGGGATTCCTGTTTCTTATGCAACCTGGGAAGGAAGCTGGACATGGTGGTGCAGACCCTGGGAGTGTGTTCAAAAATAAACACTCTAGGGGCTAGGGAGATAGCTCAGTAGAATGAGTGCTTGTCTGGCAAGCGTAAGGGCCTGGGTTCAACCCCCAGTTCTGCAAAAACAAACAAACAAACAAACAAACAAACAAACAAACACTCTGGAGGGGCTGGCCAAATAGCTCAGTGGACTAAAGTGCCTGCAAGCAGGCACAGGGTCCAGGGGTCGATTTGGGGGCCTGCCATGCAGCCCCAGGTAGGGGAGGGCACTGAGACGGCAACTGAGACTGGGTGTGGTGGTGCACACCTGTAAACCCAGATCTTGGGAGGCTGTAAACAGGCTTGGACATTAGGAGTAGATCTAGTAGTGAGACCCTGAACACCCTGTAGACCCTTCCCTAAAATACATAAATAATAAACACTCTGGGAGGAGGCTGAGGCAGGAGGACCACAAGTGCGAGTCCAGCCTGGGCAACCTAGAGAGGCCATGTCTTAAGATAGAAATAAAAGAAGTCAAGGTCTTACTTCATACACAGGCCCTGATGAAATCCCTAGCACAGCAAAAACTAAGATGAAGGAAAACACTAAATAGAAATAATGAGATTATGCTTTTCTCTTAAGTGCATACAAGAAACCGTCTCCTATCACCCAGGAAGAGTTCATGCGGCCCATCATCTCCAAAAGGAAGACCTATGGGAGCTAAGACTCTTCTCTAGGATGTGCAGGACAGACCATAAACTGTGTGTGTGTGTGTGTGTGTGTGTGTGTGTGCGCACACACATGGGCGCTCACGGACCCACTTAGGTATCTGCTCCTGAAAGCTTTCCCTTCCTTCTAAAGTAAAGCTCCTGGTACTGCCATTTGGAGGTGCCATGAAGCCCTTGGGAGGAGGTGGGCAGCTGACAGCAGACCCCATACACTGAGTTTTGTGTGTGTGTGTGTGTGTGTGTGTGTGTGTGTGTGTGGCCAGCTCAGCCCACCAGGGGGAGCAACTGGCTGGCATGTGGTGCTGGGGTATCGAACCGCGGTCCCTGTGCTTTTCCAAGCTTGTTCCAAATAGGTGCTTTAGACCACTGAGCCATCTCTCCAGCCCGCAATTTAGCAACTTTTTTTTTTTTGCGGAACCAGGTATTGAACTCAGGCCCTTGCACTTGCCAGGGAAGCACTTATTCCACTGAGCCATCTCCCCGGCTTGAGTATTTCTTTTTAAAAGTATTTAGCACAGGGTCTACAGGATCTCATTATACAGATTGGATTTGCAGTGATCCTCCTGTTTTCAGCTTCCCAAGCACTGGGATTACAGGCGAGCACCCCCACGCCCGTCTCAATCACCATCTCAACTCCACCCCGGGGGCGGGGCCCGCACCGCACCGCACACTGGAGGTTGAACCCTGGTCCCTGCGCCTGCCTAAGCAGGTGCTTTTAGTCCGCTGAGCTGTCTGCTCGGCTCCGCTGAGTATTTACATTTTAAAAATTTATTACTGCAAATGACACATTGCCAAGACTCCTCCTCCCCCTCACTTAGAACACAACGACGCCCGCTCTCCCTCTTGCCACATCTGAAGAAGTCTGAGAGGTTCTTTGGTCTTCATAAGGGGTGTTCAAAAATAAAAATGTGGTGACTGCTGCTGCCCAGTGCCGTCCACTGAAGAGGCAGCTCATAAGAGCATGACCATGTGTCCTAATTCACCTCCTTCGCTGAATCTGTCACCATGGGATTTCTGCCGCCTCTCCTGACCCCAGCAAAATGACGCCGGAAGTCAGTGTTTTGAATTGGTTCAGGACATCCGGGCAGCCTAAGTGTGCAACCAAAGGCGCTCACAAAAGAAGACTTGCAGAACTGCTTCAGAAAGTAGCAAGAATGCTGGGATGTGTGTATTCAAAGCAAGGTGAGGGCTCTGAGGCCAGTTAATGGCACTGTTACTTATTGTAATAATTTTTAAAGTAAACATCCACCATATTTCTAAATGTTACTGCACACTTCTTAGAAATTCCTCTATGCTGGAGGAGCGAGGCTAGCTTGGGAAATTCAGTGATTTAGAAAGAGTCTGTCTCAAAATAATAGAAGGGTACTGAGGGCTGAAGATATAGCTCAGTGCAAGTGTGTGGGTTCCATCCCCAGTTACTGTCCGCCCCCAAAGAGTAAATAAATAAGGAAGCGACAAAACCTTCAGTTTTCTGCTATAAGAAAGTCTGTGCTGGTATAGCAATTCTGTTCTTTAAAATCTTCAAGAGTCCAATTTTCCCCCCATGGTTCTCCCATGCCAGAGCTGATGCACAGTCCTCATGGGCCAAGTCCATAACAGCGCCACTAGGGCTCAGTGCCAGCCACCAAGAAATGGGAAAGTGAGAGAAGGGCACCTGCCTTCCCTTTGAGAAAGCTAGGTGCACAACTAACTCTACTCACACCCCATTGGCCAGGACTTGGTCACATGACCCTATGTAGTCACCTGACTCAGATATGGAAACCTGGGAAATTTAGTCCTTTCTCTGATCATGAGCCTCGCTGTAACTTGAGAATTCTGTTATGATCAGTAGGAACAAGCTATATCTGAAGGTATCAAGGGCAACATTTAAAAAGGAAGGCATTGGCAGATGACAGTACCGATGGTCACACACAGCAATGAACTGAGAAGCAGAGTGAGTGCCCAGGAATGTTGGTAAGATCTGTCCAGCAGAATTTCACAGCAGTGGCACACTAGGTTTTGTCTCTCCTGTTCTCCTTTCCAAGTAGGACTGTGTGTGTGAGACACCCTGGACCACCAGTAGATGCCAGGAATGGAAAGAGACAGATGGGTGTCTCTTTTCTTTTGTAGACTTGCTCTTAAGAGTTACATCTCTTCTTCTTTCTTCTTCTTCTTCTTCTTCTTCTTCTTCTTCTTCTTCTTCTTCTTCTTCTTCTTCTTCTTCTTCTTCTTCTTCTTCTTCTTCTT